TTACTTAACCCTATTTGCCTCGGTTTCCTCACCCATAAAATGAACTGCAGAAGGAAATGGCAAATCACTCCAGGATCTTTGCCAAGAAAATCCAAGATGGGGTCACCAAGAGTTGGACATGACTGAAACAACTGAACCACAACCTAGAGTTTTTACTCTAGGGAAAAATCTTCTGCCTAAAGTTTATGTATGGCCTATGTCATATTTCCCACAAATGTGAACAATAGGGTCTTTCACTTCCCACATAGGATTTCAAAGTACAGTGTGAGTTTTGGGTATGCGACAGCCTTTCTTTCCCCCTATGGAGAATTTATAAGTCAGAAAGGACACATCAGAGTACATAAACAAACATGTTAAATACAGAAAACATTCAAATCAGCCATGAGTTAACCCTAGGAGGGGAACTATTGAGGCTGTTATTGGGGGAACCCTCTGTCATTCCACTCCTACGGAGTCTTACATAGTCTCTCCAAGACTTGTGCCTTCTGATAATTTTGACTCCTCCCATAAGATGAGCATACATTGGAGCTTGCTAAACAAGCAAACCCCTACTGTCTTGTCCAAGAAATCAAAGAACCATGTGTTCTTTTTTTTTTTTCTGGAAGCATACTGTATGGGAAATTTTCTTTTTTCTCTAGAAAACTTTTCTCCTTTCTCTAGGTCTTCTATCTGAACTTTGAACTGAGGCACTCTAGAATTTAAGATTCAGTTTATAAGTCTATTCCTGAAACTCACGCTCCCCCAAAAAATTTCCTTTCTCTGACTAGAAGCCTAGAAACTGTGATCACACAGGCAGTGCACTTCTGAATCCTTCTCTTTTCTACACAGGATATTCAGGAAAAATAACTTTGCATTTCCTTCTCAGATCACCAGCAAACTCATATCACCCAGTACCATGTGCTTCCACTATCAGTCCCCAATACTAAAGAAGTCCTGGAGAGTGAGAGTATATGGACAGCTTGTTTTTAATTAAAAAAAAATTATAGGAGGGCTGGCTGATCCTCTATTTAGTCCCCCTTTCCCCCTTTAACATTAAAGGTGTACGACTAAAGTCCCTTCTACCTCTAATCCTCATGAATCTCTGATCTGTCTCTGACACGGCAGCCCTCATTTACTTCTGCAGCTACTTAGACGCAGGACTGCTCCTTCCGCAGTGGGAGTGAAGCCAAGAGGCTCTGAAATATGAATACGGTTTTGAGGTCACAGTCAAAAGAAAATCAGGGTGAAAGAGGAAAGCTCTCTTTAGGGCTGGCACCTTTGAAAGATAGCTGAAAGTGCTTAACTTTTAAAGTGGTTTCCAAACATTTGAGGAATGCAAAACCACCAATCATTTCCTTTCTAATTTGTTTAAACCTCTTAATTTCTAGATAATAGAGAATGAAAAGTTCAGAAGGCCTTGTTTTACTGAGAGAGGATATACAACTAAATAGGCAACTAAGCTCGAACCGGAAGCTGGATCTTTGGCCGTGATATGTTTTCCCCTTTTTAATATGTTAAAGTTATCGTCAGAATGTGCTTTCAATTCCCATGTTGGCCGTTAAAATTATTTTAAAAAAACCTAAATGTAGTTGAAGTTAAAATTTCAGATGTCACAGTTGACTCTATTTTATATGTGTACATCTTCCTCTGTTCAGAAATGGAGGTTTAATTGAAAACAAAACAAAACAAAATAGCAATCCTACCCCAAATAAATCCACTTTCCATGGGGGGGGACAGGGTTGAAAATTTTAGGCTAATACTTTGAGTGTTATCATCAAATTATTTTTACTTTTCATAGACTGGAGGCAGCTAGGTGGCACAGTGGATAGTGCACCAGCCCTGGAGTCAGGAGGACTGAGTTCAAATCTGGCCTCAGACACTTCATACTTATTAGCTGTGTGATCCATTGCCTAGCTCCCCTCCCCCTCTGCCCCCCAAACCCCAAAACATTTCATGGATCAATCAAAAAACATAGTACAGTAATTTCTAGGGCACAGGATCTGTAAATCCACATTGAATGTAGGTGTGTATGGGTATGTGCATGCACATTCTATACATGTGTTCATGCATATATGTGCATGTGTCATATATGTATATATGATACATGCAATATATGTATCTATATATGTACAATATATAAATTAATTATTTGCTTATTTATCCATCTAAATAATAATTCATAAATAAGCAAATATATGGTAGAAATGTGTGATTTCACTAGTGTAGGGACCTCTTTGTGAGGAAACTCCCTCTACCAATGCAGACCAACAACTATTCTGCAGCTTATAGTCTTACAAGTCTTATATGGAGAGTTGACTTTGGCACTGAGAGGTTATAACCTGTTTATAATCACATACCCAGTATGTATCAGAGGCAGGATTTGAATCTAGGTTTTCCTGACCCTGAGACTAGCTGTCTATCCCCTATATCACACTGCCTCTCGTATCTTCTGTAAATTGGGTAAATAATATCCACATATTTGTGTGTGTTTGTATATATATCTATATATATATCTCACTATTATTCAAATGTATGTAGATGTTGTTGCTATTAATGCAAAAAGGATGAGGACCTTTAATTAGACAGCAAGAATGCACAGCAAAGGTGGCCAGTTCCAACTGTCCATCACTTAGTGTCATTAAATATCTTCCCATAGCCAATAGAAACTTAGACAATTTGTATATCAATCAATCAATCAATCACTTAATAAGCATTTATTAAGTGCCTATTATGTGACAGGCACTATGCTAAGCAATGTTCTGGGCACTAGATGATTGGGACAGATGGGAGCTGAAGAAGCAAAAAGATAAGTAATGCACATATTTATCCCCAGCCCTGAATAGACTTAGCAGAAGTCTGCATTTTGTGGTCAGGAATAGGTAAAAGAAACTTATTTGTGTGTGTGTGTGTGTGTGTGTGTGTGTGTGTGTGTAAGCAGTAAAAGGCCTTAACAGTTCGCTGAGGATCTCTGTGGGTCAGCTAGGTTTAGTAAATCCTTTCTAACAAAAGAGCTGTGTCACCTTGTCCCTGGGCAGTCTAAAAAAAAAAGTCAACTGTTCTGCCCAATGATAACTGTCTTCAGTGTATGGAGGGCTGTCATGTGGAAAAGGTGCTGGACTCATTTTGGTTGTTCTCAGAGGACAGAAGTAGGAGCTATGGGGGAAAACATCAGAAGCAAATTTAAACTTAACACTAGAAGGACCAGGCCCATGGAAATTTTTTTTTAAATGAATGGAAATGAAGTTAAAATTTCAGATGTCACAGTTAACTCCCTCAAAATGCAAACATTTTGTTATAATATGTTACTTTGAAATAAACATTTTCATCCTATCTCTATTTTCTCTGCTTTAAGGATTAAAAAAAATGCATTGTATCAATGGACACATTTTGGTCTTTTGAGATATCTTAAATTTTAGTCATTGTAAAGAAAAACTGTTAAATAGAGTGATCACACATCCTGAGGTGATGCAGGAGGCTGTGGGTCCTCTTCATTTGAAGTTTTTATGCATAGGTTAGATGACCATTTATTGGTTCCATGTTGTAAAGGCATTTTTTTTTCATGTATGGGTTAGAGTAGGTGGCCCCTGAAAGCTCTTCTAAATCTAAAATTTTGTCATCATGTATTTTCTGAATCAGTGGGCACTACTGGTACAACCAGGGATCTGCTGGTAAATATTTAACAACTGGCTCCCCCCAAAAAGTGCCCATGATATACTTTTCAGCTTAATCTGGAAAAATCTGATGATTTTCTCCATCACTAGAATTCTTAAGAGCAACAAAACAATAAATCCAGACCTTATTTGTAGTATTTACTGATTTCTGGAGTATATATTCTCACACCGAAAATTTAACAATTGACTCTCATGGACCAGTTTGAGCTGGCTCCAGCATATACCTGGGTACAACTATTAATTGTTGGAATCTGAGAAATTTCCTGATATTGAGACAAGGCCTTTATGCTTTGAAAGGTTGGGAACCATTGTGCCACGATAAAAGGACCAGAGTATACACATTTAGGGTATAGATCATATGGAGAAGCTTTGTTGTTATTACAAGACACAGCAGGGAAAGATTAGCTCATTCGCAGCTTTTCTCTGTCAGCCAAGTGAACTCTGAATGCAAACAATCTCCTACCAATAAATATAATGTAGGAAGCAGAAAGAATGGAGGGAAATCAGCCTGGGTTTTGGAGGCTGGCCAGAGGTTTGCTAATCTGGCATTGACCCCCTGGGGAGTCAAGGCAAGGCAGTTTTGTTGTGCAAAGGATGCAATAGGTAGCCCCTGAGCTTGGAGTCAGAAGACCTGAATTTAAATCCTTCCTTAGATACTCACTAGCTGTATGACTATGGACAAGCCATTTAACCTCTCTGGGCCTCAGATCCCTTCTCTGAAAAAAGAAGGGGTTGGATTTGATCCTCCCTAAATTCCCATCACATGCTAAAGCTATGAACCAATGGCTAGTGTAGCACGGGAGCCAGAAAAAAGCAAGATATAAACAAGGAAGGGGAAGTGTCTATCTTATACTGAAATGAAGGTTAGTTTAAAGATAGAGTCACTTGGTATACTGAAAGAGGGAAGAAACAGGGCCCTCTCTTTATTTATCTCCACAAGTAATAGCATATGTTCATATGCCTAGGGTCCAGCAGGGGTGGGGAGCTTGTGGCCCTCTGGATCCTCAAGTGCAGCCCTTTGACTAAATCCGAATGTCACAGAACAAATCCCCTTAATAAAAGGATTTGTTCTGTTAAACTGGGACTCAGTCCAGAGGCCACACCCAAGGACCTAGAAGGCCACATCTGGCCTCTATGCTGCAGGTTCCCCACCCCTGGTAAGGAAACCAAACCAGATTAAAAAAAAAATCAGGACAGAGAGAGTTAAAGAACCAAAAAGGAAAACCATTCTATCTCTTTCTTTCTTCTCGGGTTTTGAAGAGTATGGGTCTGTGGGGGAATAAATTTGCCATAGGGAGAGGCTTATGTTCAAAATCACACTGATCCATGAGGATGAAGATACACCGTAAGTAAATTATGAAGGGAAGAAAGGAATCACATTTATTAACTGAACATTCACCCCCCATATATAATCCTTTGGGGGTCTCCTTTGTCTACGTACCTACACAGAAACAGTTACAATTGAATGGGAGATTCTATAAATGAGCGTTCAGTCTATGGTGTCATCTCAGATTTACCTCTAATACCCCTATGATATCAGATTTATCCTAGATTCTGCGGGTGCTGGGCCTCTGATGTGGTTTCATTTGCAAGAATGGTAGGCATCTTGATAAAGCCCCAAGTTTAGTCTGAGATCTGGTTGTGTTGCTGTAACACCAGGCATTAGGGAGATGAAATTAAATTTCAAATCCAATATAGTACTAAAATTCTTTGAACAAACCATGGGTTAGCACTGTGGTCTGGATACTTCATTCTATTTAACTCCTTGGGTAGATCCCCAAGGAGTCAAAAAGGATGAGCCTTTGGTTGTGATGATCAATTAGGAAATAGCAAATGAGGACCAGGGAGTGCTTGATTACTAATGCTAGGCTCATTAGAAACAGACAGATAATTTCATGGGATTAATTACACCTGAGGGTTCTGGGGACATCTGCTCCTGGGGCTTAAATCAGCACCTGAGGCTTCTGGTGAAAATTGGTTCTTACAGCCCCTCTGTCGCTGACATTGGATAGCTTGCTTAATTGCAGGGATTTGGGCTTTCCATCTTGCCACACTTGGCCACGCTCTTGAGCTTGAGAAAAGGGTGGTTGGTCAGTAGCTAAGGACAGTAAAGTTGGCACAAACAACGGTGGAATTGTTTTCATTGTATAGTCTCAATAAGATGTGGTATTCTCCCTACAAGAAACAAAAACAAAATATTAGACTGATGTCACTTGGCATAATCAAAATGGAGATGCAAAGGGCCATATGGAAAGTGCTTTATTAGAAGAATGACCAGTGTCTCAGGATTCCCACCTCACTGCTGACCTTTCAGAAACACTGATATCTCAGAGTGTGTACTTCTGCATCCCCTCTGCCCTTGGAGCTAGTGTTCAAGCAACATGAAAAAGGTCCCACTGATGGGTGTCCCATCTCCCAGCTGTCTTATTGTTCAAGTTACTGAACTGCTATAGTTTCAGGTAAGGTTTTATGATTTTAACAATACCAATGTAAAAAAGAGTGTGTTAATTATGTGCAGATGCTCACCTTAAACTTTCTCAGCTTCTTTGTTTAATTTTTTAAAATCCTATATATTTTTTTAGTAGACAGCATAGAGTGAGCTCTATAGAAGGTACTTACAAAAGATTCTAATGGAAACATACCTCATTTCTTTGTGGTGAAGCCATTATCTAGGAATATTTTTATTTGAGACAAGGACCACAAATAAATCGCACCTTAGATAAATGGTGTGAGATTCACCCTCCTGTTGAGAAGGTGCAACACCACCCTGAAGTGGGAGAATAGAGACTGAGGGACACCAATATTAAGCCATTGCTATTAAATATAATGGGGGTGGGGTGGGGGAATGGAGACTAGGGAAGGAGTGGAGATAAGTTTGAATTAAAGTGTTGTCCTGTTAGTTTCCTAGTTTTAATTCTTACTAACTGGATTGAGCTCTGTTGTTTCTATATGGCTTACAGATGATAAATACTATCAGCCCCTCTAAATTTGGCAAATATGGTGTCCTGGGACACAGTCTATGTCACTCTACCATGGTGCAAATAAGAAATGTAGAGATAATTGAAGAATGGGACATGAAGTTTGTAGTTCAAGAGTGTACACTCCGATTTAGGAAAAGTCTACTGGGAGGGCATGCCAGCATGGAGGTGATTGGGGCCAGTTGGATCCATGTGGGGAAGCTCTAGTTTGTTTGTTTGTTTGTTTCTTTTAAATAATATTTTCCCCCAATTACATGTGAAAACAATTTTTAACATTTGTGTGTTTTTTTTTAAGCTTTGAATTTCAAATTCTATTCTTCCCTCTCTCCCATCCTCTCTCTCTGAGATGGTAAGCGATCTAATAGAGGTTATACATGTGCAATCTTATAAAATGTATTTCCATATTAGTCATTTTGTGGAAAAAACCTTGAACCAAAAAAAAAAGAAAGAAAGAAAGAGAAAAATAGTACACTTTGGTCTGTATTCAGATGCCACCACTCTTTCTCTGGAGGCAGATAGCATTTTTCATTATGGGTCCTTTGGGATTGTCTTGGATTGAAGCTCTGGTTTCTTGGTGTTCATAATGCCTGTGCCACCAGAGTAGTGAGGATGGGAGAGAGAACAGTTAACCCATATTCTGCTGAGCAGAGCAGTGGTCTCAGGAGCCAGGAGTCTGATTTCTTTCTTGGCAATTATATAGCGGAAGTCTTTATTTACAAGTTACACTGGGTAGAATGTTGGACTCAGAGTCAGGAAGTCCTGAGTTTGAATATTACCTCAGTCACTTATTATCTGTGTGAACCTGGACATCATTTAACCTTGCTCAGCCTCAGTTTCCCCCTCTGCAAAATGAGGATAACAATATCATGTCACAGGGTTATTGCGAAGATTGTATGAAGATAATATACACAACTAGAAACTTCAAAGAACTGTTATGTAGGAAGTAAGCATTTATTAAGTGCTTATTATGTGTCAGGCACTTTACAAATATCTCATTTGATCTTCACAACAACTCTACAAGGTAGGTGATATTATTATCTCCATTTTACAGTTGAGGAAACTGAGGCAAACAGAAGTTAAGTGACTTGCCCAGGGTCACACAACTAGTAAATGCCTGAAACCAGATTTGAACTCAGGTTTTCTTGCCTTTAAGCCCAGTGCTCTATCCACTGTGCCACCTACCTGCCTTACTATCGTTGTTGATAGGACAATGATGACAGATTGATGATGAAGAAGATGATGATGATGATGATGATGATGATGATGATGATGATGATGATGTTGTTGCCCATGTGCGATAGGGGACCTTAAGGGGACATCTAGCTCTGGCTCAGAGATTGGAGGGAGGCCCTGGCTCTGTTTTCTTTCTCAGAAGGGCCTCCTCAACCAGAAGGAGATGAAGAAGTCTCTGGCTGGGCTATGGGTCTTAGCTTTCTCTCTAATAGTCTGAGATCTTATCGAATCTCTGGTGATAGGGGAAAATTTGGGGATTCCTCTTCAGTTTTGTGATTAAGGGAGCTTTAGAGACACAAAATCTCCAGGTCTTATATCTTTACCATATTCTTGAGCTTAATCTTGGTCAAAATCACTTCAAGTGTATCTTTATTGATTAAAGGGTGGTGTAATGATTTACCTGTATAGGTGCTGGGTTAGACTTTAAATTTTATTAATTTTCTGTTTTGAGGGATTATCTACATATACACATACACATATGTGTATATATATACATGTGTATATATATGTATATATATACATATATATACACACACACATATATTTAAAAATAGCTCTCTGCCTCTGTTTTGTTTTCATTAAGAGAAACTAGCAAAGGTGCTGTTAAACTATAAATAAAAGCCATTATTGCAGAAAACATCATATACCAGATGGTAGTAGTCAGTGGTGTGTTCTCAGAAAGGAAAAAAAAATCCCATTAATAAATTAAAAAAAAAAAACCAAACCAAAAGTAGAAAACTCCCCTGTGATCAGGGGACATTTTCTATAGGCTTATACACCCTTAGGAATGAAGAGACTCTGATTTCCTTGCTTATGGCTCTATAGGATTAGACTGAAAGGAAGAAGAAAAATCTGGAGAAGATACCTAGAGGGGGAGAAATCAGAAATTGCTGGCCAAGAAAGAAAATGAAGGCCAGGGGCCCTCAGTGAGATGATTCTCTAAAGAAAAGGACCTCGGAGCTGGAAAATGAAAAGAAGATAGAGAAAAGTAAGATTTGAGGCTGAATGAAGGATGGGAGTTTTTATAAGAGAAGATGTTTCCCTGGAGTCAGGTCCAGGTTTGAGAGGGATGAAAGGGTGAAGTGAAGCATAGGCTTGTTATTGTTGTTATTTGTTTATTTGTCGTAGATAACCATGTATATACTTCTGTTTTATTTTCTGTTCCTCTAAGGAACCCAACCCATGGTTTTTCAGCTTGGGCAATTCTTAGCCATTCCCTGATGGATTTATCCAACATACTAGCATGTATTGTGTCCCTCTCATTCTCTGCTCTCCTCCCATTACAGCCCAGCCCATATTTTTAATGGTCATACAGGTCCCAAATGATGTCTTTTATGCCACGTTTGATACACAAGGTATCATTAGGAATAGGCCATGTATATTCACTATGTGTCTTTCTGTTGCTCTCTGGACCACTAACATTTTTTAATCTTTTGAGATTTTGATGTTCCTAACCACATAGAATATATGGCCATGGTGACACATTAAACAGATAAAAATGCAGAATGGTACCCAGTCATTTTTTAAGGAGCGTCATCTTTAAAACACAGTGTGTAGAGTCAGGACAACTTGACCTGAGTTCAAATTCAACCTCAGACACTTCCTACATGTGTGATCTTGGGCAAGTCACAACCTCTGTCTCTCTCAGTTTCCTCAACTGTAAAATGGGGATAAACCCAGGGTTGCTGTGACTATCAAATGAAATGATACTTATAAATGCTTAGCATAATGCCTGGAATATAGTAAGTGCTTCGTAAATGGTTTGGGACAGCTAGGTGGTGAAATGGGCAGAGTGCCAGGCCTGGAGTTAGGAACACTCATCTTCTTGAGTTCAAATCTGGCCTCAGACACTTACTAACTGTGTGACCCTGGGCAAGTTACTTAACCCTGTTTGCCTCAGTTTCCTAATCTGTAAAATGAGATGGAGAAGGAAATGGCAAACCACTTCAGTATCTTTGCCAAAAAAACCTCAAATGGGGTCGCAAAGAGTCAGACACAACTGGACAACAGCAACAACAAAGTAAATGGTTATTCTTTTCCCCTCTCCCCCAACCCTTTCAGCTTGGCAGAGTTCATTGGCAAAGCCTTCAAGAACCCAAGTTCATCTCCATCTCACAAAGAGTCATTGGAGAAGAACTTCTATGGAAGAAGGAAATACAGGCAAGTTAGAAACACGTGAAAGATTGAACAGCAATGAAAGATATGTATGAAGGCAGAGCTGACTCAAGGTAGGCATCTGTGTGCTTGGGAGAACTCTACACTCTTAGGAAATAACTTACCTTGACAATTGGAAAGGCAGGTTTATTGATGTCTCCAGCATAGTAGATATTTTCTGGAAAGCAGGTAAAAGACAGAGAGGCATTACTCAATATAATGAAAGAAAAACAAGCCGTTTGAATCTCTTATGGTCACAGTGTACCATTTTTCTGTATTAGAATCATAGTAATGATGAATATGAGGTCAAATATGAGAGTGGGGAAGAGCCAGGTTATGGGTGTGGCGGTGACCTGTGTTTGTTGCTTCCTTTGATACCCCTTGCCTTGGGGCCAAGGGCCAGAGATTGAATTGCTTCAGCTTGGGAAGTGGTATTGTGCTTCTGTGTGTAGTGGTGGGGTGGAGCTATGGAAGCTTCACCTTTTAGCAGAGTAGGGGGTTTGGAACAGTGTTACATAAGAATAGGAAAGTCTGGTCCTAGGCAAGCAGGTCAATAAATGCAAATTAATGGTGTTGAGTAACCTTTTAAGAGATCCATTATGGGCAGCTAGGTGGCGCAGTGGATAGAGTGCTAGCTCTGGAGTCGGGGGACCTGAATTCAAATCCAGCCTCACTAGCTGTGTGGCTCTGGGCAAGTCACTTAACCCCGATTGCCTCAGCAAAATAAAAAAAAAAGAGACAGAGAGAGAGATTCATTAATTCAAGATCTTGTGTGTAGTAGATGCCCAATATACAGTACGATCATGTCCCAAAAGTCTTAGTGCAGTTTTAAGCTTTAATAACTACAGAAGTATAAATGCCATAAATTCACAAACAATGTTATTTGAAAGTTTAATTATTTAAATTTATCTTATGCTTACTTTGGATAGTATATAGTAATTACTTATATATTATGTGTTTTGGATTATATATATGTGAATTTTGGATAATAAATTTGTTTACAGGTATAATGGTTTCTGGATGACACTTTCTCAGACTTGTGAATCAGTAGAAGAGATCTTTTTTTGCCTCCCTCAGTCACCTCTTATATCTCCATTTGACTTTTTTTGTGTGTGTGAGCTCATGTAAAAATCGTTCTCTATGTATCTAAAGAGGGGCAGAAGGAAAGGGAAGGGAATAAGCATTTTTTTTGTCTACTATGTGTCACGCACTGTGCTAAGCATTCTTTACAAATGTTATTTGATCAAAACCTTATTCTTTGGGTGATCTTAAGACTAGCATTATAAATGCAATCAGTGACACTTTTAGTGACTAAGTGGCAGCTGATGAAAGTTTTTACAAAGTTGAAAAATTAATTAGAGCCAAGATCTATAGTATGAGATGGAGTTTTATTGAATTTTTATAAGAAATATAAATTTTTAAAATTATAAGTAATTAAGTTTTCAAATGTTCTTTTTTTTTGTAAGTTTGTTTCTGAAGTCATTAAAACTTAAAATTTCATTTGGACACCTCATGTAACTATTGATTAATTAAAGGATTGTCTTATAGAATATCAGTTTCTTGGAGGAAGCTGTCTTTGTATTCCCAGCACTAGTATGTACAGTGACTAGCACATGATAGGGACTTAATAAATATTTATTAATTGATTGGATTCAGGCTGCTGAAGTATCTTTCAGTGTCAGGAATCTGCAGGGAGAGCTTTTTTTCTTCTTTTTAAATGGTATTTTATTTTTTCCTATTATATATACAGACAATTTTTAACACATTTATAAAAAGATTTTAAGTTCCAAATATTCTCTTCCCTCTCCCTTCCCTCCCTTTTCCTTAAGACAGCACACAATTTGATATAGGTTATGTATGTATAATCATGTAAAATATATCTCTGTATTAGTCATATTATTAAAGAAGAAATAGGCCAAAAGAGGAAAAAAAGCCAAGAAAATAAAGTGAAAATAGTAGGCTTCGATCTGCATTCAGACTCCATCAGTTTTTTTCTCTGGATGGGGATAGCATTTTCCATCATGAGTCGTTTGGAATTGTCTTGAATCATTTTATTGCTGAGAAGATCTAAGTCATTCATAGCTGATCATCACACAGTGTTGCTGATACTATGTATAATGTTCTTCTGGTTCGGCTCACTTCACTTTGCATCAATTCATGTAAGTCTTTCCAAGTTTTCCTGAAATCTACCTGCTTATCATTTCTTATAGCATAATAGCACACCATAATATTGATATACCACAACTTGTTCAGCCCTTCCCCAATGGATGGGCATCCCCTCAATTTCCAATTCCACCACAAAAAGAGCTGCTATAAATATTTTTGTGCATGTAGGTCTTTACCCCTTTTTTATGACCTCTTTGGGATATGGACCTAATAGAGGTATTGCTGAATCAAAGGGTATGTACAGTTTGATTGTCCTTTGGGTATAGTTCCAAATTGTTTTCCAGAATGATTGGATTACTTCACAACTCCACCAATGGTTCATTAGTATCCCAATTTTCCCACATCTTCTCCAACATTTATCATTTTCCCTTTCTGTCACAGCAGCCAAAGGGATGCTTTTTGAGCAGATGACTGACAACATGCTATGGTTTTAGGGGCACCCTCCTTATAAAATCACTTTCCTCACTGCTTTACTGATAGCTGAAATGCCCAGTCCATTCTTTGGGTGTAAGACTCTCTGGTTAAAGGTCATCAGGGTAAGCCTTAGTGTAAGGTATGCTTCCATGTGAAAGGTCATCTGATCCTTTGCTTAAGTTAGATTTTGATAGGTGGAAAGGGGGAAAGAGTAGGAAGGCTGCGGGCTCCTTGCGAAGAAGGATGTTTACGAGGAGAAAATATCTCATGGGATGTCAGATTTTGAGCAAATTATAGAGATTATTCAATCCAATTCCCTAATTTTATAGGTGATTTGCCTAAATTCACTCAGCAGGTTAGGGACAGAGCTGGAGGCAGAACTCAAGGCTCTTGATTTCAAGATCAGCATCTTTTCCAACTTCACATGATACCTCCAGGCAACAAAGGGAGCCCGAGTTGCTAATGACAACATTGACTTCCTTCACAGTTTTGTCCAAGGCTGACCCAATGTGGAAGAACCTCTACCACTAGAGTTCTTCTGCCTTCTGATGTAGTCATTCCCAAGAGATAGGAGAAACTGAGGGACTGAACCCAGGTTGCCCCTGGAAGTTTGTTGGCAGGCCAGCCTCTAAACTAAGCCTGATTGCTTGTGGTTTAGCAGTTGGAATTAAGCAGGGAGCCATTTGGAATTTCCAACTTTTAAGTCAGAGTGAGGCATCTGACAAAGACGATGCCCTTGATGTCCAGAAGTCAAGGGGTAAAAACAAAATAAATGTAAGTGTGGAGGCACTAGTTAGCTGAAACAGCTTTATCTTCTAAAAAAGCTTGGCACTTAGGGAGGGGAATGTGCTAGAGAGGGGGAATGCTCATTCAAGTCAAGGTTCAGAAAGACAGACAAGACTTACCCCATCCCCCTCTTTACTGGAAGAAAAGCCGCTGTTCCCTCCCCACCCCTGTCTGATGACTGGGTGTGTGTGGTCTCTACTGGCTTTTCTACAAAAGATCTACGTCAAACAGAACATTAAGTTAGATGAATGAAGGCGGGAACCCCCCTTCCTCTCATGAACAAGAAGGACTGCCTTATCCGAGGAATCTAGATATTGTTTTTGTATCCTAGCATTGTAGGTGTTTAATAAATGTTTATTAATTGATTGTTAATCAATGCTACCTCTCTACTGAGGACAGGGATCATTTCAGGTATAAAGTTTGTACCTGTCTCCTTCAGGGACCTGTTGTATATTGCTTAGTAAACAATAAGCACTTAATAAATGTTTGTGGTTGTCTTAACACCTGGGGCACCTTGAAATTCAGTAACTCCTACTTCACATTAAGAGAAAGAGGCCTATTGGGTCACTGCAAACTGCCTGTGACCTCAGTAATTGCAAAATGGGGATTTTGGCTTGTTACTTTCTCTTCTTTTTGAGGAATCTAAGGCTTTTACTTTATATCTGTCATCTCTGCCAAGGGAGCAAGGATAACATGTGTGGCATGAGCTGTTGCTGAGAAGCTACCGTGGTCACAATGTCTGAGTGTCCTATGGTATGTGTCCTGCCCCCTCCCTTAGTATTTCCCTTTCTCCTCATGGCCTATATACCTCACCTTGCCCTCTGAAGGGCACTAGAAACCCTGAGAAGGCCTAATTTAGGAAAATGATGTTTCATTGCATTTTATTCACTCATTCAAGAAATACTTATTGAGAACCTACTATGTGCAAACCACCACAGATAAAGCAATGGAGTCTAAACACATGGTTCTACCCTCAATGATCTTGCAGTCTAGATGGAGGAAATACTATACATGTAAATTATATGTAACTTTAAATACATGTAAATATTATACATGTAAAATGTGTTTAACTTTAAATACCAATGTAACACAGTATGTAGGGAGACAATATGATACTGTGGAAACAGTGCTAGATTTGCAGTGAAAGGACCTGGAGGAGAATCAGGCTTCTCTGCTCTGTGTGACCTTGGGCAAGTCACTTAACCTCTATGGACTACAGTCCCTTGGGAAAAGAGAGGGTTAGATTAGTTCATCTTTACCATCCCTTCCTGCCCTAAATCTATGGTCCTATGTTCCTGGTATAGACAATAATGTTTTGACTTCACAAAAGGGATAGTGAATGATAGTAATTCAGAAGGCTTAGCAGAAGGGGTGGAATTTGAGTGGACCCTTGATACTCAATAGAAGATCTAATTTAATTATTGCTAATTCACTTCCCACAGTGTTTGATTTGCACCTGGGAAGTAGATTCCCCCACAGGTCTGACAAATCCCTCTGAGATAAACGTGAGCCTGGCAGGGCTGCTGTAGGCATCGTCACATGTCAGGCCCTTGAGAGCTGGGTGTGGGAGTCAGGAGGGGTGCAGAAACTGCGCTGAAAGACCTAGAGGGAGAATTGTACTCCAGCTCTGGGCTGCTCTGGCTGCGAGCTTGGACAAGTTCCATAATCCATGCTTGAGATTTCTTGTCTCCTCGGGCGTTGCAGAGAGAAGCTCAACTAACCCCAAAGCCACAGATATTTGGTCAATACAGAGTCCTGATCACTGATTCTAACTTTCTTTTGTGGGTCTCCTCTGGGCTACCATTCAGTTGC